CTTCCCTGGGCAGCAGAAAGGGGGTGGGATAGGAAGTTGTTGGGGTGCAGGGGAGAAGGGGAGGGAGAGAGAACTGGGATTGAAATGTAAAAAAGATTGTTTCTAATTTAAATTTTAAAGAAGAAAGAAAACAAAGATGCCCTTAAAGTAAACACTGCTCTGCACAGTCTCTTACACACACACAAAGCATCATGCACACACAGACACTACTAAACAAGTCACTAACAGTAAAATTTCTAGCAACAGGCAAGACTGAGCATTTATTACATGCAGCTGTGGCCCTCAGCATTTATAAGACTAGTGCTCACAATATGAAGAACACGCAGTTTTCAGAACAGCCGTAGTAGTAGGCATTTTATCTTCCTTTTTATGTAAAGACTTAAAGGACATGAATGTGTGAGAGAAGAAATTTTACTCACATGGTCTGGTGGCAGAAACTACTCTCATCACCAGTGCCTGAAAACTAAGAGCACATGAGAACACATGTGCTGCTTTCTCCATTTGCTGAGTGAACTCATCACGTACCTGATTAGAGGTCTCCTGTATTTCAAACCAAGGAAAGTCTGTGGAACTTCATTTTATACTATACCCCAGTAAGTCAGGGAAGATTTTGCTCTGTTCTACCTCTCACATTTCAGCTTGTTGTTTCAGATGATTGACTTGCTGTAAGAATACCATACTCTGTTCCAAGTACAACTTATTTTCCACATTGTCACAGTGCCATCTTTTGAAACATGCCTGGCAGATTAGCGGGACAATGCTTTGGTGAATACTGTGGCCATGATGATCTTCTCACCTTGCTCTACTACTAGTTGCGGAAGTCAATAACACATAAAAGAGCTAATTCTCCCTTTCAGTAGAATTTGACACTGAAAGCACTTTGACCTCAATGTATGTTGTTTTCCTCACAAACATTATACAAATAAATTTGGAAATGCCATTAGGTGATGATAACTCATTCCAAATCCCACTCACTTCTAAAACTTCTTGGCAAAGCACCCACTGAGCAATGACTCTCCTTACATGTTCTTCTTTCTCAAGTCTCATGGCAATTCCCTTTGTAACTGAAAAGAGAAAGTCTTCGTAATTCACTTAATTCTGAAAGTGCAGTGCTAGTTCTATAATGTTCCATTCAGGATGAGAAGCAGACTTAAACAATTATAATTTGAATTATTGAATAACCTTGTTACTGAAGTCTACAGGTATTTCAAATATGGGCTCTACTAAAGACAGTATATTGAGGGTTATTATTTTGAAATATGAACTATTTATCATGAGTGAAATATTTTGTGCTTAATCAATACATTTGAATTATTCCACAATTTAAAAGTTTATGATTAGAAATACTCTTCAGTGACTAATTAAGTGATCCCATTCAAAACTGGTTTCTTCAACTGATAAGATCTATATATAGGATGATCTTTTTTTCTCATGAAGTTGCATTTCATGAGTCTTCTTTAAATTCTGTAACAAAACTTGATAGTCATTATTAATATTAGTTCTAAAGATAATTTGAGCCAACTGTGATATTTAATGAATTCTCACTACTGGATTTCACTACTGAAAAAGTAAATGTTTAGTTGCATATTTCCTTGCTTATTTAGATACGTTACTATTACTTGAAAGATACCTTTTTATTAATGTAAGTGAAAAAGTTCCCCATTTCATTATTGTGTGACTGAACTGTCCTAAAAGTAACGTATTAACTCAATGCATGTAATTGCTAAGGACTCTTAAAAAAGGATAAAAACCAAGACGGTTTACTTGTAGTTACATTATAGACACAGAAAAACACTGTCCAATATGCTTGATGACTATACAATTCACTACATGTTAAATGTTTTAATTTTTTCCAAATTGCAATTAAAATACTTAGAATCAAATGTTTATTATAAAGTAACTGGGAGATTCTTCTTCAGATTTGAACATAAATGACAGACATTTGTTTTGGATTTCAGTACCTTAGAACTTAAATGGAAACACCAGAGATATAAGTGAGGTCATCCATTAACTTTGGTCTCTCATTTTCTAAATAGCTCTAACATTTCTTCACAATACAGTAATATAAATACTATAAATTTTGGAGTTTGAATATGAAATCTTGACAGAAAAAAAGATTTCCTGCTCTTCCAAATTCTGAGTTGTACATATTATGCACATAGATGTGCCCTTGGAGCAAAGTAGGCAATCAATGAGTTAACATTTAGATGCCTAAATATGGGAAAGAGAGTTTCTTGATTGATTGTACTGACATTTGTTAACCTGTTTCTTAGCATTCCCTACCCTATCATTGGTTGACTAAATGCATGAGCTCTGAGATTAAGTTACAATTCCTACAATAAATTACAAGTTCCTGTTTCCTGAGATGTATCAGATGCATAATATCACACATTTTTATCACAGAACAGCTACTAAAACTGAATGGCTTTGTCCATAAAAATACAAGTTAAATGGAAATATACACATAATTATTTTAAAAACACTACAATATCAAACTAAGATACCAAGAGACTAACTACACTTTGCCTAAGTAGAAAGTTAACATAAGGTAAGCCTAAAATTTATGGTAACATTTGAGTGCTTGAACTGAAAAGTTAGAAAACTAAATGGTATTATGCATTCTAGACAGTTAATGAAGAGAATTGTATTAAAGTGAAGGAAAGAATGAACATTCACACCAAAAAAACCCCAGTATTCTATTAGAAAGATCATAATCAGAAGGACAATTTTCAAGTGTGATGATTCCTCTCCCATGGGATCTGAGAAATGCAAGGAACTGGAAAAAATATTACAAGGACCCATTCATCATCATGCCTCCTCAATCTGCTTAAGACCTTTGTGACTGTAAATGGTGTGCCACTTAAGAAGAACTTGAGCTAATAGAGAAACACATTGAAAAATATAAAGTACTAATGATTACCAAACTCAGACAAAAACAATATTTTTGTATTAGAAAACATAGGTAATTCTTCAGAACATGTAGCACCTTTTGCCTATGTCACTTGTATGAATATACTTCCCTTACAAGCACATGGCAAAGGGAACTGCATTTATCCCACTGATGTGTTCTCTTAAGAGAAAAATAAAATAAAATCTAAAGGCTTCAGTTAATGGAGTTTGTCAACTGGAAAATCACATCTTGTGTATGCACATTGCACAAAGTTGATAAAAAGAAACTAGGAGATAAGGTACATATCATAGTAACCACAACTAATACAGTGCAAGTGTTATTAGAGAGGCCAGAAACAGAGATAAACACATCTTACACACAGCCGAATACAACTTTAATGTCTAGACTGCTCACTGAGTAAGATTCTATCAGCTGTGGACAGATTGATACAAATAGCTTTCAGGAGAATTAATTGTTAGGAAACTAATGCTTTCTCTTAGTCAAGATTGATCCTGTGTGAAAATAACAGCATCCATTCTCACGGGTCATTCTTTTCTGTTTTAAAGTTCTGAAGGCAAAAGAAATGAAGGCAAACTTCATTTTCAAATAATGTATTGTTGTACTTTGAACTCACAGTATAAAAGTTTTATAATCCTAATTTTGAATCTTTTTTAATTCAGTGATTTTGGAACTCAGAGCCTGCACAAATATAGATTATATAGATTTTGCTCTAAGAAAGATGAACTCCCCAAACCTACTTAGAAACTTTTTGAAGTTTGATTGATTCCCCATTGTCCTGACTGAGACAAAAAGCCCCATTCTTTAGGTTGCATTAATGTGTATTGGACACTATAAGCTCAGATTTGTTCAGGAGTGAATAGAATTAAAGAGACAAATCGAACAGCAGTGATGGCAAGAGCTGCCAAACAGGACCGGGCTAGCTGAAGACAGAAAGTGAGACATTGCTCAGAGACCCTTGCTGTCTTTGAGAACAACTTTTATACCACAGATCCTGATTACTTCTTCTTCTTATTATTATTATTAGTGGTTTGAAAAGACAGGGTAGATAGATACTGTATGTTAAAATAAAGAATAAAATAAATCTAAAAAGCAAACGCACATCAAAGCCAAACGGAGTGGTCATCATTCAAAACTTTATTACACTAGAGTGACAGAGAGTTTTTCAAATAAAAAGTATGTTAGATTCAGTCACACCTATTTACATTTTTCAGTCTTTATCTCACAAAGGGAACCTTTCAATCAACTTAAATATTCTGCTACTTTATACCATTAGAGCAGACATCTGAAGAGCACTTTTTTTTTAATTTTCTTAGTAGCTTAGGGACAGTCTCAGTCAATTAATAGTTTTTAGCATATTTGGTTTTTTTGAGATCCCTATCAGATTTAATCACCTATATCCAGAACAGTTCAGTAGCTGTAAACATATTTGATTTGCTATAACATGAAAAGGATTCTCAGACGCAAACATCAATACTGAGAAATGATTACACCCTGTGAAGCTCTTCCAGACTCTCAAATGCACACACATAGTATTACCTATACACCCTAAAGCAGCTAGTGCAATGAACTTCCTATCAGAAGAAAAATACACTACACTGTAACTTAAAATTACTTGCTATTACCATTTCTTTGGGTTAAAAGGGTAGGTTTGTAAGGAAAGTAACCCGAGTTCATTTCCATAGCTAAAGCCCTGTGCTCACTTGGTAAATGCTGTATTTGCTGGCCAGGCACAACTTTAGAAAAACTGTCCCAAAGAACTGTCATTTAACAATTAGGAACTTGAGTTCATTTTAAATGCACATCACTATTGCTTTGACTCTTTCAATCCCTTGTTGTCATTAGTAGCAAAAACATGAAGAAATGAAGCAGAATGGTATTCAGACACAGAAGCATTTAAGACACATTTAAAAGATAGCAGTCCCCCAGTATCACTTCCTTTCCGTTTTCTAAGGAAAAGCTGAAGTGCCTGCTACCCATCTTCCACTACGAATGAGTTTGCCAGGTACACATCAGCAGCTTTCCCCATCCCTTTAGCTACATCTGTCCCTCCTTTCAACGATGCTAAACATTGCTCTGATTAAAAGCTTACCAGAGATGGACACTGCTCTCAGCTCTCAGTGCTGGCACTCTTCTCTCCGACAGACATACCCACCTCTGTTTCGAATGAGAAGGTAAACGGAACAGGCTCACCCGAGACAGAGAAAACAATTCGTTCAGCTAGATCCAACAGTGCTCTCTGCAGCCTGGCAGCATGAGTGATCCTTGGGCCTCACACAAAAGCAAGATAATTGGCTCTCAATGAAGACATGTAAACATCCATCATAATGGCACTCGGGCTGAAACTGAACGCTGCCTCAGCTGTTCTGTGTACTCCGGCTGGAAGATGATGTCACAAACATCAACTGGGTGTACTCTCATTGGCTTTTGTTACCTGGAATCATATCTTAACCCTAAACTGTCAGCTGAAAATCGACATGCTCTCCCTGGCTGTAATTTCTGCTGCCAAGAAGAATGGGAAGTGCGAATAAGTTACCGGAGGATGGCATACAAAAATATTGCCCTCCAAGTAGGCTAAGACCTATGTAGCCAATTAACTACTTAGGATATGTAAGAATGTTATTGCTCAATTGTATTTATTTTTCAGAATGCTACTATTAAAAAGACGACTAACTGGAGGGATAACTAAGGAAATGACTAGAGGTTTTGAAATTTGGGATTTAATCTTTTAAAGAATTCTTTAGATTGATTTCATAGTGTGATACAATTAAATTTGAGAACCTTAAGAAAAAGTATAATGTAGATAAATGTGCTATCGATCTGCTCAGAAAAAAAATCTGTATTTGAAAGTATCTAAAAAAAATAGGAAAAAAGTGAACATCTATTTTACTCTCTGAATGTTAAACAAGAACTCCAGTTTGTGTAGCAGAGCTCAAATTATGAAGAACTGAAAAGTATAATGTTACAAGCTACTATTAAATATTGGTTTTTAAGAGGATTAATTTACAAGTCACTGGATTTGTAGACAATTCAATTTCAGTAATTGAAAGCTACTTTATAATGCAGTACTATCATTTTCCCAACACAAATAGGGAATAATTATCCATGCCTTACTATCTTGACAAAAGCCCCGTATTTCTCCTCAGGTAATGCCCAGTGGGAGAGGAGGATAATGGCATGAGCTGGCGTAGTAGTGCTTCCAGAGAGACAGAACTACAAATACCTTGGAATATACCCAACTTCTCACCAAAAGGAGCTGTCAGTGGCTTCCCCGTGAAATGGAAGAGTTGCCAGAGCTACTCACTGACCAAGCACCTACTAAATCCATCGCTGGTCCATCCCAAGGCCAACCTTTTGAAAGCCGTGCAGTGCAGAATGCAGTCAGTAGCAGCACCAGGGACGGAGTCAGGAGGTTCACTTCATTCACTCCCGCCTTCAGGGAGTGACCCCTAGTGTGCATGCCTGTTGCTCCATTTCTTTCTGAGTAATGAACACCAGGTATGTATTTCTTCTAATCCCTGGCCATTTCCAAAATGAATAAGTTATTTTCCTGGAACACTTCAGTAAGTTTACAATGGCTAGAAAGAAACGGCCTCCAGCCCCTACTACATTCTGTAAATTATGACCATTGGATTAAGTCAAGTTTGTATGTGACGAAGGGGATTGAATTCTGGGTGCACTTCAAGATCCAGGCTATAATTTCAACCTGAAAGAATTTGATCCCATTAGCATGTATCATAAAGAATGAGTGTTAGACTATCACCCATAGCAAAAATGAACTAAGGTAATATGTACACTTGTCATACAAAACAAAGTGTTTTATATGTTAAGAATCAACAATATTTCCCAACAAAAATGTCAGAGTCACTTCATTGATGTTTATGAACGTAAAAATGGAAAGTGAACTCAGTGCTCTCCAAATAATCAAAGAAGTGAATTATGTTAAACTCTTTAAATTTCAACTTAGATACACTGTGGCAAATTAGCCTGGTTTGTAATAGTAACTCACATAAGGGATTGTTTTTCTTCAAAGTCGATGCCTTTCCAGGACTATTTTGGATTTAATCATATTAGTCAAGCCTAAGAAGAAACTAGATTAAAAAAAACCTAGTTGACAAAATATACTTTGAACAAATGTGGAAGATGCTATTCATTTACTTCTGACTGAACTCACAAGGTTTAAGATGGAAGTCTGTATGCCATGTAAGGTGAAATACATTGAATCACATATCAGAAAGATGAATTTGGACAATGGGAATGTCAACTGTATTTCTGGTAGATGAATGATAAAACTACAATATTATATTTGCTAAAAGGATATATTATGGAGAAAATAATTTAAACAGCAAAACATGGTCCTATACTTCATGTTTTATATAAAATATTAATTGTATAAATAGTTATGTCAGAGATAGATAACTAGAAAAATTAGGTTATATGAAGCTTCACTAAGAAAGCATTCTGATACATATACCATTTAGTTACATTTTTATGATAAATGCATATTACAATAATTAAATGTAGAAAATGATAATATTACTTCCCTTTACAATAGCCCAAAAAATGGATCAAAATGATGGATGGAGAATATGATATAATGAGTGTTCTATTGATATTTTGTATCAATTACCTTTTTTCTACACATGATTCATCTATAGGTAATTTTCCTAGTTCAAGTTACAGATTTTGTGTTGTAAATATTTATATATATATTCCAAAGGTTACTCTCTTAACCAATCAATAATTTAAATTTTTAATTCCATTCATTTAAATGAAAAAATATTTTATCTCAATTTTTAAGTTTTGAATGAATTATTAAAATTAGTAGAGTGTATTTAACTAGTTGGAGAAAAAAGGGGAGAACTGGTGGAGTAGATTTACTATTAATGTTAGGCTGTTATAAATGACCATTTAATCCATAATTTTATTTTATTCACGAGAGAGTAACATATTATGTGGCTACATGCGTATGTGTTTGCTTGAATGTCTGAGTGTCTGTGTGGGGGTCAAAGAACCTATATGCTGCTGCACAGAGACGCCAGAAGAGGACAATGGCAATGGTTGGCACTGAAGCTTCAATTGCCTGCAATTGTAAGCTGACTAACTGTAGTGATGGGGATAAAACTGGGTCCTCTGCAAGAGCATTGCATCTGCTTATTTGCTAAGCCATACTTCCAGCCCTTAAACAACATGTTTATTTTTAAATAGCTACATAGTCATACTCAGGGAGATTCAAGATAAACCTAGGATATAATTGTTTATGAAAATCAATCAAGTGATCTGGAGTAATATAAGTGTGCTCTTTGCAGGGTAACTACAAGTTCCATCTAATTTTTGAATAATAATTTCAACAATAATACACACCATAGGAAAATGTTCTTTCAGTACTTTGAAAAATGTTAAATTTTTCATCAAAGGAAAATAACTTTGCATTTTAAAATATACCTCTTGATAATGTATCACTATTTATTATATATTCTAGCTGTAGAGACCAGCTACCATTGCTAAGCTCCAAAGAGGATAAAATATTTGAAGTTTAATAGCATATAAAGAAGGAATATCACTATAAGAGTTAATGTAGTCTTTATTTTTAGTAAATTTATAATGTTTATACATTATGATATAGAGAACATGGAGACTCTACATTATTTTTTAAAAAATTGATGTTATTTTGTAGTTCATGCAAGTACGTCTCACTCAGTTTTATTACCATACCTACGTGCTATACATTTCCCAAGAGCCGAAATCACTGCAGTATTTAATTGCCTGACAATTATTTCTGTTACATCAATTTTGTGGTTAAACTAATTATTTATATTATCAAAACAAATCAGCACTAGAGGCTAATTAGACTAGAGAAACCATCCTACACTGTTTCTCATCTTACATATTAATAAGGTTTAGGTTAATACTAACTTTCTAAGAGATGAGCATATCTTTCAGGTGGTAATTTACAGAGAGAACAAAGAAATTCAAACAAGCTTTAAACAGCATTAACCTGTGTTGCTTTGAACAGTTAGGAATACTAGATCTCAGCATTCTGCCTCATCTTGAAGCAGAGAATATCCCATTACCTAGTTATCCACAAGATGGCAGCTCCGGATATTTGACCAAGTAGGAATTTAATGTGATCCTGCTTTAGCTAATCATAATATGTGAAGGGTGTGAGTAACTTTATGTATATGTATCCTTGATTATATGATCTCTTTACTTAAAGATAATAACATCCATGGAAAAATACCAATTATTTAAATCATTTTAAAATATGCCATTTCAGAATACTGAAAATTAGCTAACTCAATATCCAAATATTTCATGATAAATGATTTCAGATTTCACTCTCCTTATAAGTTATTGTTTTATCTTAATTTTGTCTCAAAACACTGTATTGTTTTAAAATGAAAAGCTAGCATTAAAAAATGACTGCAGCAAATTCACCTCACTGAGGTAGAGAGTTATGACAACCATATTTTCCATCTAGTCAGATCTAAATATAATTTACTAATGGGATTTGAATTTCCTTTTAATATGTAATCATTTTCACAGTCACTTTTAATGGGGGAAGTCCTTCTGCGTATATGTTTCTCTTATTGGTTATTGAATAAAACACTGATTGTCCAGGCAGGAGGTGACATGTCTGGGCAGAATATAAGAGGGACAAACAGGAAATTGATCTCTTCTCTGCTCTCTTCTCTTCTCTGCAGAGACACTGAGCTATCTGTCATCATGTAGTAGACAAAGGAGTTACAGGTCTGGTAAGCCAAGGCCAAGTAGAAATACACTGATTAGTAGTTATAGGATAACAATCAAGTCAGAACTAGCCAATAAGAAACCATAGACTTTTAATCCCAGCACTCAGGAGGCAGAGGCAGGCGGATCTCTGAGTTCGAAGCCAACCTGGTCTACAGAGTGAGTTCCAGGACAGGCTCCAAAGCCTCCAAATACAGAGAAATCCTATCTCAAAAAACCAAAAAAAAAAAAAAGAAAGAAAGAAAGAAAAAAGAAACCATAGCCAATAGCCAACAGCTTTGTGATTAATATGTCTTGTGTGTTCCTTAGGGGTTAATTCGGACCTAGCTGGGTCAGAAATTTACATTACAACTTTTTTTATGTCTGCCTCAAATCTTTTGTTTAAACTTCACTATAATATTGTTATTTTTGTTTGAGTGTAGTAAATATTTTGAAAACAATTGGAATTATTGAGCCATATCACATTTCCTTTCAGATAATGTATAATAAGGAGATACTAATTTGTGTTTAACACATTGGTAACTGTTACCTTTGGAAGGGTGAAATAATTTGAAATGGGTGACAAAAAGTAAAGAAGTGAATTTTTGTTTCTTTTTAAAATTTGTATTTAAAATAGAAACAAGCTTGTTTTACATGTCAATGCCAGTTCCCTCTCCCTCCCCTCCTCCTATCCCCCCAATAACCCCCTATTCCTCCATTTTCTGCTCCCCAGGAGGGGTGAAGCCTTCCATGGGGGAATCTTCAAAGTCTGCCACATCATTTCAAGCAAGGCCTAGGAACTCCCCCATGTGTTTAGGCTAAGAGAGTATCCTTCTATGTGGAATGGGCTCCCAAAGTCCATTCATATGCTAGGGATGAATGCTGATCTATTACCAGAGGTCCCATGGATTGCTGAGGCCTCCTCACTGATACTCATGTTCAGGGGTTCTGGATCAGTCCTATGCTGATTTCCCAGCTATCAGTCGGGGGTCCATGAGCTCCCCTTTGTTCATACCAGCTGTTTCTGAGGATTTCTCAAACCGGGCTTAATCCCTATGATCATCACTCCTCCTTCTCTGCAACTGAATTCTAGGAGTTTAGCTCAGTGCTTAGCTGTGAATCTCTGTTTCTGCTTCCATCAACTACTGGATGAAGGCTCTAGGATGGCATATAAGGTAGCCATCGATCTCATTATCAGAGAAGGGCATTTAAGATAGCCTCTCAACAATTGCATAGATTGTTAGTTTGTGTCATCCTTATAGATATCTGGAAATTTCCCTAGTGTCAAATTTGTCTTGAGACCTATGATGGCTCTCTCTATTATGGTATTTTTTTTGCTCTCCTCTATTCTTCCCCTGACTCAACCTCCTGCCTCCTCATGTCCTCCTCTCCCCTCCTTTTCTCCCTTTCTTGGGAGCTTGGGGGGAGGGGAGAGGGAACTAGGTGAATCTTCATATATGGAGGCAAGAATCCAATGCAATTTCAGTGATTTAAGACCCTGGCTCTGAGTGCAACATATCCTATTTTAATACATATTCAATATCTTAGAAGACTATGAGAAATAAATCTGATAGATATATACACTAGCACTTATCATATCCTCTGAAAAGCCATGCCTCCTGTGTTTACATGTTCCTCCTTAATTAAGGGCATTTGATTTTATTATTAATGTCTATTTTTGTAGAAAGTTATACATAAAAATGTTATTTTTTCACCTCAATATGTGTCATGCTATTCAAAGTTGTTAAAATAATCACTTTCTTTTTCCA